TTGAATTATTGTTTGTTCAGCGCCGGTATTAAAAAAATTACTTTTTTGGATATCTCTCACATCTGGTCGGATCAGGAATTGAACTAGAGTCCTATCGATTGAAAGTACGTGCCACTCACTACACGAATACGATATCCGAGTAATTTAGCCTAACAGGAACGGCGCAAACATCAATAAATCTAGAAAAATCTTGGCAATTTTATGATATTGATGCCACTTTAACGCAGTTAGAAAGTCACCAGATCAGTAGATCTTGAATTATAGTATTTAAGTATTTACATCAGCAATCAAGCTTGAAGAAACCTACCTGTAATATACTGAGTCAAACACTTCTGGGTCAGCTCGGATGGCATCCAAGAGTTATACAACATCAGTTTTTGAGGTTGAAAATATTAGTTTGTGTTATTGTTGTTATAGCTGCAACTTGCCCTGAAACAGGTAGCCGAATCGTCAAGCTCAACTAACGGTAGGCCCAGGAAACGAGCTGTTTCGATGGAGTTGGATCAGATGGAGAGGGATGTTAGTAGTATACTATAAAAACGTTTGTCCTTAATCGCTCAGGGTCCGAAAATATTCCAAATCCCTTTAGAACGTGGCTTAAATATTCCAAATTGCAGCCTTCTTTAGGGCCATCCTTGCAAAAAATTGATCCGAGGCATCCATTTTTCTTTCACGGATTTTCTCCTTTCATCTCCTTAAAACTTAAATGTTGCGCATGTATAGCCTAATTTTATCTTTTCGATTATAGCGAACCAACCGCGGATGAAGTAATCAAAGTCATACGGCCAGGGAACGACCAACTTCAGCGTCAGTGAGCAGTTTACGACTACAAAGTATTAACTGCTAGACGAAGCAATATTCTTTACATTTTATTTACTCGATTCTCATACACGTATTGCTCCATAGAAGATACTCAACCGGGGAAGCTAAAGTCAATCCGTTAGTATCAAGTAGTTACTTGGTACTGCAGCTGTTTGTCGGTTTGAGCCAAGACCAAATAACTTCGCCAATCGCTTCTCTCTTTTGTTAAGTTATGCCAGTTGTTCATTCCTCTTGGTCCTTCCATTATGTTCGTGTGCTTTGTTGCCGAGTCGAAGGATCCTTTTAACGGATCAACCATAGTACAATGAGTATCCGGCATGTGGAGCTAACACTAAAACACTAAACACTAAAACTAGAACTAAAAATTCCGCTTGTCGAGTGCTGAAGAAATCAGACAACTGAAGGCAAAAGCGCTGATGTAGGCTATCCTGAAGCTTATATACTTGAAAGTTTGATTCCGAGTAGCGTTTAATATCTTGTAACTTTAGCCTCTGTAGCCGGGCTAAATAACGTAAAAAAAAAAATCGCTGGGTCTACATATTTCCACCATCCTCATTATGGGCCATACTGACGCTCATTCTTTTAGGTGCTTTCTCCATTATGACCTAAAGTGTTATACACCATGCAGTTTTAAACTTTTGTACTCGAGTTGTATTGATGCTTAAGCCCCTCACACTCTACATACGTATCTTCAAACGAACATTTTAAATTTTGCCATTTAGAAATTTCGTCTCACAAAAACTTGCATTTTCTAGGCTATGCCATTCTGGCATTCAGTGCTCAATCCTCTTAGCGCTTTGGCAAGCGGAAATTGAAAGGATGTTTACATTGGCACCGCTGGTCATAGTGCAGATCACATGGCGCTTACATAGGCATGGACTCTCCTTTACTTAGCTCAAAAAAGCCTCAGTAGGTCTGCGTTTATTCGTTCACTTCAAACTGATGATAGCGTTTCTTTGGCTACTTGTGTGTTGTGTGTGCGGCGTATCAACATTTGTTCTAAGAGCTTCAGGCTGTTCCACTCCGCCCCAAACGACAATGTTGACGAGTGAACTGAGCGAGTTTTGGGTTTAATGCGGATATTACATGAAGTGTTAGCCAAGTATTGATTTTTTTGCCGACATTACTGAATAACTGACAAGCTACTTATTTGTACTCTGCCACATACAACAGCAAGCATTTGTTGGCATTTCTTCGAGCATTATTAGCATGGGTACCATCCAATACGTTAATGTACTGAGAGTTTGTAAGTAGCTTCAGGAAACGCTTGGTTTTGCATGCGTTTTAGGGACATTCCAAGTTGATAGCTTAGAATTTGAAGGCACTGTACTAGTACTTTGAGTTTACAAATCGGACTACATAAGTATGCTTTTATGACGATAATACAATGTGTATGGCGGATGTGGTGGACCGGAAAATTTAGGTCGAATTTCCACGCCCTCAGCGTAATGCCCCGTTGTACGTGTGGCCTAAAGAAGATAAACGGAATACTGGATGAGTCTTTATTCCTAGTGACGAGAAAAATACGCTGTACGTCAACGTCATCCTCTAGATGAGCACGGTTGATTTGGGATGATGACTATTTGATCAGATGTTTTTCTATCGGAATGTGGCTCGAAATTCGGACTCTACCATAGAGTTCTTTAGCGTCTAAGTACAAGTACATACACTAGTTCGGACGGTCGGACGGTCGGATGGCAAGTAGGCTTGTAAAAGCTGGAGTTGATAGCACATTATGTAAATCCTTAGAGCTCTAACAAAATTGTTACTTTCGTCCGCTCATTATTTAAGTGGTTGACTGACAATTCCCACATTCGTATTGATTTAGTCCTAATTTTCTACTTTTATTTCACTTCCGTTTCTCTTTCACCAGAGCACTTCGTTCAACTTATTGCACATTTCTTCAAGTTTCCTCATTTCACTTGAACTTGTTTATAACCAACCCTCTTCTGCTAATTGCTATCGTTTAACTCAAACTGCATTGGTCCAAAAAACAATTGTTCATAATGTTGAAGTGACATTCGGGCGTAAAAGGTGTGAGAGTGCGTGCGTTTATTGCTCAATCACTCTTCAGAGTTCTGTGACGTAGTTGGAGGTGGAGTGGCAAGCGCTTAAGAGATGCTTTGATGGGGTTGTTTGTGGTGTTTAATGACATTATTTCCAATTCATTAGCAAATGAACAACTCAGTGTGACGTTCTTTACGAGTACTGCACACATGCAGAGATGATGACAATTGGTTTCCATTGATGTCAAGTGGCTGGAGTATGTGTACAAGTAGAGCATTTGTAGTTGCTTATTTTCAGAGCTGAAAATATGGTTTATAATATTTCTTAATCAATCTTTACAGCTAGGAGACTTTCTTCTCTTTGGTTGAATTTATTTTAAGTTGGAAACCAGCTAAGCTTATACGCGCCTAGTTATTATTGGACTTCACTCAGAGGAGGCGGGTTCGGATCCACACAAAAAGTGCTCGGCGGATTATTGCTCTTCTCTGTCTCCGCAACTGTTCCAGAAGAGTGTTATGGGACGACTAAGAAAGCGGACGATATGTCGATATGCTTTAGTATTTATAATAAGTCGCATATTCGTAATTCAAAGAGGGTAATTGATTTCCTATTTCGTTGTCGAATTATTTCTTCGCCGACTCGGTCGGTAAGTCGGGTTATAGCGAATTATATTTCGAATTAGGTCTTGAACCGGAACTTACAAGATTTCGGTAAATCACAATGTGCCGAGAACGAAAGTTTCCAGGCGAAATCAGCCTTTTAAAAGGTCGATAGCTTCGGACAAATAGTTGAGATTATTCCAACCTTATCATTCTCAAAACAATTTTGAACAATTATCAAATTTGACAAAGCTGCGAGAGTTCCAATACAACAGTAAAATGACGAAACCCACACCGAAACGACAGTTTCGGCTTTGCTAAGAGCCCGCAGTCAGGTATTCCCATCCCCTCTTTGCTTTGTACAACTACCTCGAAGGTACCTCTCCCAGCCAACCTATCCTCCAAGCAATTGTCTGCTAAATAACGGGACATGGCACTCATATGAGTGAAATTGGGAAATATTCTGACACAACCGAAAGGAAGGTCTGACATTTCCTATTATTTTTCACCTCTTGCCGCTCGACTATCAGAGTGGCAGTGGGCGCGGTGGGAATTCCTAAGTTATTTAGCCGAGTGAAGCGAAAAATGCTGAGAATAGACTACAAGAACTGACAAAAAAAAAATCTTTATTTAATCTCTGAAAAAAATCTTAACCCTAGTTCGACTTGTCCATTATCATCTATCATTATTGGGAATTATTCAATTTCGATATGTTTCAACTAGAGTTTTCACCTCTGTAATAATTATGATTTACAAAATTTGTAAATTTGTGGCACATATTAGGGTGGTCCTTAAAATATCAACGTGTAAATTCTGTATAGGAGCTACGTTCAAGATTAAGACAACCGCACTAATTTCTAAATTAAAAAAAAAATTTGGAATCTCTGCCAATGTGTGAAAAAATTTCAATTTTTTTTAAATCGCGAAAATTCGAAAAAGTGTTGACTTTAAATTTGATAAATTTAACATAATATTGAAACTTATAAGTTATGAGTTGTAGCTGATCAAATTAAACGTTTTTTTTCTAATTTTTGCGTTTTGAAAAAAAAACACTTTTTTCGAACACCCCTATTTTTTAATTTTCGTAGATGTCTTTATTTTGTACGTACAATTGTACATATGTATGCATAAAATGAAGGAAGTATAGGAAATCCTGAATAATGAAATTTTCTCAATTATTAAAAATGTGTATGTTATAAAAAGTTCACATGTAGGCATTTGTGGGTATTTTTTAACATTTTATGATGACCAATAATTGATACAATATTAAGATATGAAAAAATTAAATTGTTTAATACCAACTAAAAATTTTTACATTAATCTTGCACCATTTTTATTCCTTTTACAGATACCTGCAGGCTCTGCATGTGTTTCCATAATTTCAACACGCCATTAAAAATTTAAAAATTTTAATTGAAAAGTGCAATGTGTTTTAGTGAATCTCAAAAGTGTTTTCCACACAAAATCTGGCTCTGATAGCAGTGTTTTTAACATAATTATTTCCTGTGTAACAAAAATTTTCCATCCTTGCATTGCCTAATTTATATTCATTTTATTTTTTCCTCCAACCAGCTATAAAAGCAAAGAAAAATTGTGCAAGTGTTGAAAGTGAAAATCGAAAATTTGACAAACAAGTGTTAAATTACGCTTCGCACGCCGTCATATTCAGTGCGCAATATTGAAACATATTGTGGATTAACATTTGGATACGTTATAAACCACTACTAGGCGAACCAGCAAAATAAGAAAAACAACAACGACGCACAGCAACAAAAGCAGCAGGAAAAGCCGTAAAATGTTGCCGCTACCGCGCTTACACGCCATAAAATGGCTAACACTACTTGCAGCTATGGCTGCCTTCTGTAAGTATCAATTTTTTGCTTTACTCTTGTAAATAAGTGTGCATGTGAATCAGCCTATTTATGGGCGCCATTTCCTGTGTATGTGCTTAAGCAAATATCAAATGTTTGCATAGTGCAAGCTTTCCGGGTTCCTTGTGCGCAGTGTTGCCAACTTTTTATTTTCAAAAAGCACCAAAAAAGCGTTTTATCACACTAAAAGCACCAAATTTGTTTTAATAAAAAGATGCTTTTTTCATAACAGTTTGTATTTAACAAAAGCAAAAAATTAAGAATATTTACAAGAATACATACATAATCAATACACAAAATTGTTCGCTCATAACGATTGAATAGCCTCTACACATGCTATGATGACTCATACGTACGACGTAATATCGAAGTACTGCGCATTAAAACTGGTATATCTCGAGAAAGAAAAATCGAAGTCGCAACAAATGAAAATGATGCCATAAGTAGAAATGAGCAAAAAATGTGATGTTTTCATTATATAACCTCAAATATCGCCAAAAACCGTGTTTTTGGCACTTTGAGGTTAGGATATCTCAAAATTCTAGTGCTAAGCAATTGTGCGGCCAGATTTGGATTCAGCACCAAGAAGCGATGTTTTTTATTCAGGTGGTAAAAAAATCAAAATTTGCACAAATAATTAGAAAAGAAAAAGAGAAATACTTAACTTACGCGAATAGAATTCAAAAAGATGGGTTTGTAACTTCATCTTTTTATCAATCATGGTTATATTTTAGTGCATTTAAATTTGTAGATTCTTGTAAATTCAGTGCTGCCACAGCTTTAAATATTTCAGGTTTTACCTATCTCGGCTGAATTTTAGTTCAGAAAAAAAGCCCTAAAAAAGGCACTAGGCACTAAATAATTTTTTTTGGCGTTTTAGTTTTCAAAAAGCACTAAATCTGGTGCTTAAAGCACCAAGTTGGCAACTATGCTTGTGCGTATTCAAAAAACGTAAATATTGAAATATTTTTGCTATTTTTCTCCGAAATTTAGATGCACTTACATATATGCAACATTCATACTTCTAGTGAAGTGAAAGCGCAATGTATGTAGATCGCGCTAATGAAAGCTTTTGAAAAATTTTACACTGTAATGTAGAATTTCTATTTTTAAAAGTAATTTTCAATTTGTTGGCGAATCAATTGGTAGCAATTTGAGTAGCAGCGTGTGGTGCAAAGTGTGAAACAAATTTTGCTGTCAAACCGAAGTCATGCATACTGCCTGATTGGGAGTGTGGATATGCTAAATGTGATGGATGCTTAAGTACTTTGAAGAGCATGTGCCAGAAAAGATCTCTCATGTTCTGGTTATTTTTTGTTTTGTTTGCTGTTCGTTTTTGTCTCAATATAACATTGAAGAATGAAGTTTTTAAGGAAGATTTTCTGAATTTTTGGGCGCCCGGAAAAGATTTTTTTCCCGTTTCATTCGCAAAATTTTAAAGACCTTGCACAGAGCGCCCATTCCAGTCGTTTTAAAATTATTAAAGTTATTTGTAGGTTTTATAATTAAGAAGAAATACTGATACAATATTCGTATAATTTTTTCGAAAATATCACTCGTTTATCGTCTTTTAATATGATTTCGGCGTAGCTTAAAAAAAGTTTGATTTTTATTATTTTGAGCAAGAAACGGTAATTATTTTTTGTTTTTTCTTTAGTTTTTGAGAAAAAACAAAAGGCAAAGTTTGCCAGATTTTTTTTAGTAGAAAGCAACTTTTTAGGTTTTGGTAATCTAATGAAATGCTTCGTGACTCTGGGGTTTCTTCGACACCTCTTGGATTTTCCCAGTCTTTTCGAGATTTTTCGTTTTTTATTTTTGAAGATATTTTCGGATTTTTTTTTAGTTTTTAAGAGATTTTTCAGTACTGTTTGAGAGGTTTCGTGATTCTTTGTGTTTTAATTTTCCAGAATATTTCGGGTTTCTTCTTTTTTATTTTCATGAATATTTTAAGAATTTTTTTGATCTTTGCCGGTTTTTTTCCGAACTTTTCGATATCCTACGTTTTTGTTTTGTTTCATTCTATAGGAATACTTCTGCAAGTTTTGGGATTTTTCCGGCACTTTTATGGCTTTTCCGAGACTTTTCGTATACTTATATTTTATTTTTCCGGAATATTTGGGAACCTGTATTTTTTCGGCACTTTTCTGGATATTTTCCGAACCTTATATTATTATATTGTGAGAATATTGGGTGTTTTTTTTTAATTTCATGAATTTTTCGTTTTTCAATTTCCAGGAATACATTGGAAACTTTGAAAGGATTTTCGGGATTTTTCTGGTTTTTTCCAGCATTCTGGGTATTTATACGTTTTCTTTTTATTTTTCAAGACAATTCGAATTTTCTCTCACAATTTTTGAGTCCCTTAGCCTAATTGCACAGCTACTAAAAGATATGCGTTTAAAGTTTTGAACTATATAAGTAACACCTTGCGGAAAATTCAGATGCATACTCGCTCCTCGCCGGAGAATATCTCAAGATTTTAGCATGCAGTTTTTGTATACATGTTATAAGGAATATTTCTTCATTAGAAATGCCGTTTTTGAATTGTAACAGATAGTCTTTTAGTAAATTAGTGATATTTAATCAACTTTAAATTGCGCTACACACAGCATCCATTACTATACCGAGGCAGTCGGGACTCTGCATCATAACTTTTTTTTTTTTAGTTCAACTTGTGGTGGAGCTTAGACAATTTTCAAAATAAAGCTGTATGCACTCGGTGTTCGTTTAATTCTGAAACCGCACATTGAGCTTTCTACCTCATGATGCAGTAGCACCATTACAAATTTCTGCCACAAAAGTAATCGTTGCTGTGGTTTGCCTTTCTCTAACAAAATATGTATTTAAATATCCATGGTGCTTTTAAGTACATAAGCACGTATGTATGTATGCATGTTTGTTCAGACATTCTCATATATGTAAGATTATCACTGCACCAGTGAGCTGCAACCTATGGAATATATTATTAGTAAGAATGTACCGCCTAATTCCCATAACCCTTTGAATGGCGGATGAATTGGTGGATTTGTCGTTTTGTTTTACATGTGTCTATCTTGACATTCCACAGCCACACGCTTTTTGGCTGCTTTTTCTACATTGGTACATATGTATGTATGTATGTATGTATGGACATGCTACTCTGCCCTTATACAGCGCAACACATATGTGCTTTTATTCACCATAAATATGCCGCTTGCTGTTTTGGGTTTTCGTGCTGTTCGCTGATAGCCTCAATTGTGCTACAAATCTCCTTCATACGCCAAATACAAACTAAAATGAACTGTGGCTTTTACTTTTAGCTGCCTAGCTGCCACACATTGTAAGTCATATCTAAGTTGAAACACTAGAGCTTAATGCAAATATAAGTACTTGGGTAAATACTCATATTTATGTGTTGCAAGTATGTAACTATGTATTATACAATGTACATATATATATACGTAGTAAGTGGTTTGTCTAAGCATCTGTTACTTTAATCTTTGGAAACTTACTTAATGTTGAAAATATTGCATAGCATCGCCTGATTTAAGAAAATATTTATCATCTGGATGCCAGCAAATGAGCTCTTAGGCGACACTTTTTATTTGTTATGTATGTATAAATAGAGCAGAGTAGATATGGCTAGGGGGGAATCATATGTATGACGCTGTAGGTTGCACATAAGAATCTAAATATAATTAACGAGCCCATATTTTTGTATTTTCCAGCAAAGGGCGACGTTTTAAATTACGAGGACTCACCGAGCAGCAGCTGGGCGTGTCATTATGTGTATGAGAAAGTGTGTTGTTTTTATTTTCTTTTTTTGTGTATAAGAGAAGCTTTTGTAATTAAAATTGCATGCCATTCTATTTTTAATTATCTAATTCCGTATTCCTCGAACTAAAACTAGTAAAACAGCTACACAAAAAACAAAACTACAAAGTACGGGATAGCTTTCTAGTAAAAAATGGTAACTTCTGGCAACTTTAACATAACCTCTAAATTTTGGATGCAAATTTTTGCTTATTTTTTATGTAAACACACTCAGCCCACACATGTAAATAACCCAAAAAGACTTTTGAATTCATTCTTCTTCTTCTTTTTTGGCGCTGTAACCGCCTAAGCGATTTTGGCCGAGTTCAGCAAAGCACGCCAGTCATTTCTCCTCTGTGCCAATTGGAAATGCCAATTGAAGCCAAGTCCTTCTCCACCTGATCTTTCCATCGCAGTGGGGGCCTCCCTCTTCCTTTGCTACCACCAGCGGGTTCCGAGTTGAATACTTTCAGAGCTGGAGCGTCGGTGTCCATTCGAACGACATTCGAATTCATTAGATCCCCTTAAACAAGTAATTATGTAAATATTTTTCAACATACATTAGCAGAGTGCACTTGTCTTTTGTTTAAAATTTGTTTGTCAAACACACTACAGCTGATCTTTTGACACATTTACCATAAAAAAATCTTCGGACTAAAACTGGTAACTTCTTACAGAGGGAGGACCTTATTTGCTCCCTTTTTTGTCCTCTAATTTCCAGTAAAATCTGACTAATTCTGACTATAGTTTCTTAAAAAAAACCTGACAAATATCTGCATGAAAAGTTATTATTGTAGAAGGTTTTTATGTTAAAATATAAAAGTAATATATCCCAAAATTCTAACCAGCTACTTAAAAAATCTTAACAATGATGCTCATTGTTCTACCAACTCAAAATAAAAATAAACAAACAATTAGTCCACGGAGGAGCAGATAAGCAAAGCAAGCACACATACTGCATACATACATACATATGTATAAACATGCTCACTACTTGTAAAAATATTATTGTCAAAATGTTTTCACTGTTCTCACGGTTGTATTTGAGTAGAACTTTTTTTTTTTAAGTACTTTCATAGCAATAAACCCCTTCAAAACGCCTTACTTAGTTCGCTTAGTGTGGAACCCAGCAGTCATTAAGCAGCGCTAGTACCCGTTCTTTGGTGATAGTGGCATTCCTAAATTATTACTCAAAAGTA